TAATGATGCAATGCTATCCCATTGTATTTGTATACCACAATTTGTTCATTCACTCCCTAATCAATGCCCATTTTGTTCCAGTTCTTTGATACTGCAATACGTATGCTTATTGAATGAATATTTTGGAATATAGGGAATTTTTTTGTCATCTTTGGATATATGTCTGGTAGTGAGATCAGTGGATTAAGGTTCTTATATGAACAAAGTCAAAAAAGAGAGCATCACCGTGGAGAAAACGAAAGTCTAGAAGGTTACCTCATCTCACTGCTTCTACATAATTTTCCTGCCATAATCAGACCCTGACCTAATTTTCTACTTACATTCCAACACAAGATCATAGATTTAGAGTTGAAAGGGACCTCAGAGGTCATCTAGTCCAAAACTCTCATTTGGAAACTGGGATATAGAGAGCTCAACCCAAGGTCACATAGCTAATAGGTGTTAGAGCTAGAATGTGAACGCAAGTCCTCTGACTCCAATATGCGCATTTACACTGTTTATGCCAGGCTGGTCTTCTGGGCATCCCCCAAACAAGCCACATTTATTTGGCCTCCTGGTATCATTTTCACACTCTTACTCATCCCAAAGGTCTTTCCCTCACTCTATGCAACCATTCCCCTCCATTTTCTTTTTTTCTTTTCCTTGGAAGTGGTAGTGGAGGCAATTGAGATTAAGTGACTTGCCCAGAGTCATATAGCTAGTAAGTGTCTGAGACCGGATTTGAACTCAGGTTTTCCTGACTCCATGGCGGTACTCTATCCAGTGTGCCACCCAGCTGCTCCTCCCCCTCCATTTTCAGGATTCATCTTGAGTTCCATCTTCTCTGTACAGTTTTTCCTAACCACTCTGGCATTTGCTGGCCTCTCTCCCCTTTGAATGCTTCCAGAATATCATCTACATCACATTACTCAGTACAGTCCTGTACGTCAGTGCAAGCTTCCTATCACAAATTTCTTAAGGGCAGGAGCCACGTCTTATATATTTCCACGTTTTAGACAACGCCTAATACTAATGCTAAGCACACAGTTGATTTTTTTTTTTTTGGACAGGATCTATGATTTCATTGTTATAGGGAACTGGGGTGAGGTGAGGGAAGTGCTTTTGCAATTCAGACTGACAATGGCTCAGTGATTTATGGTAAGAGTTGCCTGGGGACCCTGAGACTTATTGAGGTCACACAACCAGTTTGTGGCAGAGGTTGGACTTGAAACCAAGTCTTTATGCCTCCAAGTTGGGCTAAGAAGCTTGCTCTCATCTGAGCATACAGTACACAGTAGGTATTTCACAAATTCTTACAGACTGATTTTCCACTATCTTCAAACAACTGCCAACTGAAAGCTTGTGTCCCCAAGACCCCAATGAGAACCTCAAAATCACTTGTTTCTCCAAAAGGCCCTTACCTCTGATAAATCATTATGCTTTCTGTGCTCCCCAGTGACTTTTCCTTCTCTATCATTCTCCACTCACTCAGGATAGCAGCTGGGGCAAAGCATGTGTCATTTGCCAATTTTAGCTTTCAGTGGAAGAACTGGTCCCAGGCAGCACTCTTAATGAAAAATGAATGAAAGGGTGGGCTCTTATTATATTGGCTACTGTAGTCTCTGAGCCATAACATTTCAATCTTCAACAAAGGTCACTCCAAAACAAAGAGGCCACCAGCTTGACTTCCACTGATCTCATCCAGCTGTCTTTGGAGCTGCCCCCAGGTAGCAGCTGTTCAAGACTCCTTTGATGTGGGCTGAGCTGGGGAATAAGAAGAGGGCTTCTTAGGTGTTACACAAACACTGAATATACAAAGCAGGAAGGGAAGCTAGTAAAGTTCACTAAGATAAATCTACACAATTATTCTATCAATCAAAACTTGGGGAGGGAGAGAAAGTGAAGTTTTCTTTTGCATTACAAATTTTTAGGATTTGCTGACTCTCTAACAACCCAGGCAAGTGGAAAGATTAAAAGGTCCACTGAGTTTCTTAAATTCAATAAACATTTATTAAGCACCTGCTACTTGCCAGTCACTGTGCTAGGTGTATGAGGTATAGAAAGCCCAAAAATGAAAGCGCCTGCCTTCGTAGGGCTTACATTCTGCTGGAGGGTAACCACTTACATATAAATATATACATGTATATGTATGTATGTACAACATACACAAAATAAATGCAGGGTGGTAAGAAGAAGGTAATAGCAAGTGGGGGAATCATGAAAAGCCTCTTGTAAAAGGTGACACGGGATGAATCTTCAAAGAAGTGAGGGATTCCAAAAGATAGGGAGAGAAGGAAAGCATTCTAGACATGGGACACAGCCTGTGCAAAAGCATGTAGGTGAGATATGAAATATTGTGTACAGGAAACAAAATCAAGTGGACAACTTGGCTAACGGTACAGAGCATGTGAAATCGTTCTAAAGATACGTTAGAACCACATTATAAAAGGTTTTAGATACCTAACAGAGGAGTTTGGTGGGGTTTTTTTCCTTTTCCCTGAGGCAAAAGTCAGACACTGAACTTCTTGAGAACGGAAGTGACAAGAGGTGCTTTAGAAAATCCTCCTGTTAGTTGTGTGGATGGGTTGAAGTAGGGAGAGACTAGATACAGAAACACCAATGAGGGAGCTATTGTAATAATCCAGATAAGAAATGGTAAGGGCCTAAGATGGTGGACATAGAAATAGAGAGAAGGGATGCAAAAGATGTGTAAATGTAAAATCAACAAATGGGAAGCAACATGGTAGAAAGAGCACTTTGGTTCAAATCCCACTAACACTTATTGTCTTTATGACCTTAAACAAATCACTTAACTTTCCTGGGCCTGTTTCCTCATCTGTAAAATGTGAGAGTCAGAGTAAATGCCTTCTAACAGCCCTTCCAAGTCTACATTTGTGACCCTACAAAGCCTTGACAACTGATTGGATATGGAAGGTGAGAGAAGGGAAGAGTTGAAAATGACTCCTAGTTGTGAACCTGGATGACTTAGAAGGATGATATTATAGATGGAGACAGGAGAGACTGGAGGAGGGGTGGCTTTAGCAGGTGAAGATAGAGTTCTATTTTGGGCACGGTGAGTTTGATGCCTGTGGGACAACCAAGTGATGCTGATGTGGAAGTAGAGTCCCAAAGTGAGGCAGCTGATGTGTACGTTTGGATGCAACCTTCATAGAGACAGTTGAACCTTTTGGAGATGAGAAATGCAGAGATAAAAAGTGTCCAGGCAAGAGAGGAACAGTCATATAGGTAGGAAGATGACCAGAAGAGATTATCATCATAAAAATCTGAGGAAAGAAATTAACTGGGAAAAAGGAGTGGTCAATATTGTCAGATGCTCCAGAGTGGTCAAGGAGGAGGAATCAGAAAAGGCCATTGGATTTAACAATTGAGAAATCACTGGCAACCTGGGAAGAGAGCAATTTTAATTGAATGGTTTGATCAGAAGCCTGACTGCAGGGGGTTGAGGGATGAGTGAGGTTAGGAAGTAGCGCCTAGCTTTCTCTAGAAGTTTGGCTGTGAAGGAGATAAAGGATAACAGAGAAGATGGCAGTGTAAAAGGAACAGGGGACATCTCGATGTGTTTGTAGGTTGCAGGGAAGGAGCCTGTAGAGACTGAAGATGGGGAGTGGGCGCAGGAGAATATGACAAATGCCGAGAGACGGGATTAAGAGCACATGTAGGAACAAGGCCTTATATTGAGAGGAAGGGGTGCTTTATGGTCATGGGGAGTAGTCAGTGGAAAGCCATGGAGACGGGAAATACAGCACCATGCACGAGGAACGTTAAGGTCAATTCAAGTGGCCAGCAAGAGCAGTAAGAGGACTAATGGTAGTAAGGTCAGAACGGTCAGTTGAGGCCAGATCATGGGGGCTAAATCCCAAAGAGAGGCTTATTTTAGTCCTTTAGTTACTACTTAGTCCTAGAGGTAAAAGGAGCCAGCGGAGTTTACTGAGTGGCCTTATCAGACCTGCACTTGAAGGAAATCACTGTGTTTGGAAGGCAAGGAGGCCAAAAGAAGAGGGTATTTTAATACAGCAGTTGTTCGAGTGAGATGTGATGAATGCTTTAACTAGGGTGGCAACCAGAGGCAGAGAAGGGATAGAGTCAAGAACTGTTGTGGAGGTAGAAACAAGAAAAGTGGACAATTGATTAAATATATAAGGAGAGTGTGAAGTTGAACCATAGGACAATAAATTATTACACTCTTCTCAGGAGTAGCTGTATTCTGGGCCTCAGTTCAGAGCTGATTTGATTATCATCTTCCAAGTAGAAAAAGTGGAAGGAGGTTGGGAAACCATCTTCGGTCCTATGCTAGGCCTGGCTCTCTGGCAAAGGGGCAGGAATGGGGGGAAGCAAGAGGCACAGTTCTTAAGGTGGAAAATTGGACAGACTGAGCATATACAATGATTCATCACCAAAACGCTGGGAAGTAGCTTTCATAGGCTACCATGGAATATTTCAACACATCAGCCCACTGTTCTAAGATAAAAACCACCATAAATGTATCTTTTTATAAATTCAAGGACAGAGCAAAAATGATTTTCTGGATATCCGAAGCAAATCTACAATTCGTTTCACATAAATGTCTCAATACATATCGGAATGTGAGACATCTGAATTTTCTAAGCCCCAGCCTAAGGAACCAAGGAAAGGACAATGAGAATTCCTACCCTGTGTGTCTCCTCCAATGGCAAACAGAGAGGAATTATATCTCAACGATTAGCATTAGTTTCAACTGTCTCTCAACTACAGAATCAGCTGTGTTACAGGACTGAAGGCTTCTATGCTCTATTTCTTGTGCAGTGTGGCTGCTTAGTCTTCCAAAATCAACAAATGACACCTTCAGATTTAAGACCAAGTACAAGCAGAAATAGGCTTCACTAAGCCTAACCTGAAAAGTTAGGGTTCTTCGCAAGCTATTTTATCCATAAAGCATTTCTGCTCAGGCCCTTTGACTGAGGTCTATAGACAGCTTGCCTGATTTTTTTTTTTAATCCCTCTTCCCTCAAATCCTCTCCTAGGACTGCTGAATGAAGCTCAGGTACATCAGTGAAGAATCCCGCAGCCAAATGCCAGGAAGCAGACCCAGGACAGAAGGGCCTCAATTCAAACCCCTTTTTTGAGTCTCTCTATTTGACAGGTAATTCTTTCCCCCCTTAACATTTCTTCACAGTGATCAAGCAGAGCACTCTCACACAATATCTGAGATGATAAACCCATACACACCTATATACCAAGATTCCCAGCCCCTCTCCCCCTGCCCAAATGCCCATGGCACCCTCCTTAAACTTTAATCAAGAAACAAAGCAGCAGTAACAATGTGATCAGAATGTCTTTATTGTCTTCCTATAAAAATCATGTAAACATCAGCATACAGACACCTCCTCCCACTCTCAAAATAAAAATGATGATGATGCATTAAGCAGGAATTCAGATGAAATTGTCAGGAAAAACCAAGTCATTTGTCAGATGGATGCAAACTGTTAGTCTTTATGGCTTGACAGATACAGAAGTGTAGAGTGGGAGAGCCAAGAAAACTGGCACCAAAGGACATAATGCCAAAAATTTTTGTGCAATTTTAGCTATTAATTGCTTCCTGTGACAACTGAAGTATAACAAAAAACAATTCATCTTGTTAGCACAGTGCCTTGTATACAGTAGGTGCTTAATAAATATTAACTACTGGCTATTGGTTTAAATTCCCACCTTTCATCCTCAATCTTTTCCCTTCCACTCAGCTGAAAGATTGACTATATATAATCAGCTTTGATATGGGAAAAATTCTGATCCCTTTATTGCAGAACTGCCTTAGACATCACTGTTTTACCACAAAGACTTGAGGGGGCTGGTGGCATGTATGCTGGTAAATGTTCTGGGGGAGAGGAAGGGGGGATGTACACATGACATACTTTGAAGTTTAATCTGCATTATTTTCTCCATTGGCTTTCTTAAGCCTAAACAATCAACAAAGCTCTACTCTGTAACCAATTTCCAAGGTATAAATGCTCACATTGAAAATTTAACAACCGACTTTCTGGATTAGAGCTGGCTCCAGCATACCTCTACATGAAGCTACAGAGATTGCTAGAGAGAAGGGGGGGAAGTAGATGGGAATTAAGTGCATGTTAATTTTCCACCAAGAAAAATAACATTGGTGAGAAGCGTATGGGTCATAGAGAGAATTCCTGTTAAAGTTCTTTTCCAAACCACTAATCTGGCATATCTGTGCTGCTGACAATCATCTCAATGAAGAAGGGTTAGAAACACCCACTTAAAGATGTGTGAACCAATCCTATACATGCTCACTCATGAGTAATGATCAATGCCAGGTACCTAGTAAAGAATGTGACCATACTTTACTTTTCTGCCTTTACACTTTCAAGGAAGGTTAGGATAGGAATTACATGATAGTCAAGTTTTGATTAAAATTTAACTTTCCTTCTCCCTCTGCCAACCCCTGAGAACTTTCTCAGAACCATGTATGTGATATATTGAAAAAATTCCGAGTGGTTATAAAGTAAGATACCTCTTTATTCTCATTTATACAGAAAAAAATTGTAGATGCCATTAAATGACAATGAAAACCATTACCTTTAGTTCAAGTAGATAAAAGAACAATAAATATCTCACAGTAGAGATAGCAATTTTTCCTCCTCTGATTATTGAATACTCCAGTAAAAAGAGAAAACATTATTAGCTCAGGTACTTTCTGGATGAAGAATACCAAAGGTCTCAGCAGTCTCAATCTGGTCTGAATAGCCCATAGGCTATTAAAGAAGAAAAAATCATCTATGATGATTGCTCTCTCTACCTCTTTCCCATATAAAAAGTATTATTTCTTCTCATGTCATGCCACCTAAATGTACTATTCCTATTACATCTGAGAAAAAGGAACCAGCTTGGAAAGAAGAGATGAAATTACTTATTTCCCTAGTTCAGCACCAAGAAGAAGTAAGAAACAGGGCTACAGGTTTGGAAGACCATTACCTCTGGGAACCTTCACCTGGATTTATTAATTTGTACAGTATATTATGTACTGAAGCCCCCCTTTGAACTGATTTGAAGAACAGTCTACTCAACATTCGAGTGGAGGAAAGAAAATAAAATTTAACTATGATTACTTGGCCAAAGTTCTAAGTAGGATGGAAGGAAAGGTGAAAGATACTAACAATAGAAAAAAAAGTGAATTTCAAGCCCTTGGCTACGTTAGGGTGAAAATGAATAGTATCTTTGGCTGTTGTGATAAAAGCTACTGCCAATCATATGTGTACCAACAAATGCAAAATGTCATCATACTGACAGCTAATGTTAAATGGCTCCATGAAAACACTCCTCCAGGTGAAAGATCACGAAAGGGCAGAGCTCAGGAAAGTAGACACAGAACTGCCCCGCCAAGGAACAGGATCCAGAATTGCCTCAGTGAGGAGTCTAATGACATTAAAACAAGGATATGAAACCTTATAAAAAGAACTAGTTAAAATGTGTTAACACATTACTGCTCCAAAAAAAATCAGTTGAACCATTATGTGGGGTATTTCTATGTAACAAAAATAAATCCAAGTCTTAGCTAATGGTCCAACTATTACAAACAATATTTTCGGTCCACATTTGTGATTTCATCAGCATGTGAAACTCCTAGTATGAAAATCTCCTGCACTGATGCAAATTAAGAACTCTTCTGCAAATCTTACAGTCTTAAGAGAATTACCTGGGGGTCCTAACAGGGAAAGTTTATACAATATCAGTACAACAAAATTCTAGTAGAGCAAGGTCCAGGGAGTCCTAAGGAAACAAAGGAGGGAGAGCCCCAGATTGAGATCAGTACATCCAGGGTCTGACCTGAGCTCTGCACTAATCTGCTAAGCGATTTTCACCAAAGCAAATAACCTCAAAGGGCCTTGTCTCTTCATCTCTAAAGTGAGCATTTAACTAAATCACGGCTGAGGTCCTTGACAGTTCTAACATTTGGGGTCCATAACTGCTTCCGAACAGAACTCAAGCTCCCTACTAATTGACCATAAGCCAGAGTTTTGACAGTCCGGTTATGTTCCAGAACTGCCTTGAAAACCTGGTCACAGATTTTTCTGCTCAAATTGTAGATGTTACAACAAGTCACTAATATAATCCTTCTCTCCAATTTTCTAGGAGTACGTAGCCTTTCACAGGTGGTTTCCAGTTGTCTATCCATCTAACTGTAGCGAAGAGGACAGAAGACAGAGTCTCTGATAAAGCCCAAGCCTAATAATTTTCTGTTACTTCAGTTTCATTTACTTTTTGTGGGCACAAATTAAACACACTGGAGTCCATAGTGGTCTAACAAAAAAAATACAGCTATGAGAAAGAGGATAGCTTTTAAATAATATGCCACTGAAAATCTGTTAACTATACATCCCCAAAATACCAGAGTGACTTCAATGAAGATAAATTAGTTTCAAGTTCTAGTTCCCAACTTCTTGCTAATATACACTTCCTCATCCACCACTGACTGCATATATTGATCCTAGTTTGTTTTTTTTAAAAGCTTCAACACTTTCAAATCTATATTTGTTTCACACAGACCTCTTCCCTTCTTTTGTATTTTCCTCCACCTTTATGGGATTTCAAAAATATTATAGTGGAATGTGTTTTAAGAAAAAAGGTCAGACAAGTTGATGATGTAGGTGGTGCTTCACCAGCAAAATTTGTTAAAACCATAATGATTTTTATATTGAAAATATATTTAAACCCAGGGCATTTTTACTGTGCTACATGTGTGGAAACGTGTATGTGTATGTGTGCATCTATATCTGTATATATAAATGTGTGTGTGTGTGTGTGTGTGTGTACACACAACTCTTTATTTTCAAAAATTCAAATAATGCAGCCACATTAATCCTTGAGTTTGAGTTGGAGGAGAAAGTATTATTCGTGAGCACAGTCAATAAAAAAACAACTACAAGGCCTTTAAACAGAACACCCAGGAATCACTGGTACTCACTTAGTTACAGAGGCAATCTGTGTGATTTACAGGCATCAAAAACTGAAGGATAAAGAATAACCTTTTACAGGTTTTTTATAAGAAATCTGATGGACTGTGGAGCCTATAGAATATGGACTGAAATATTCTGATGAATAAGAAAAAACAGAAATAAAATGATACCTAACAATACTGACTCTAAATCAGGATGGAGGTGGTTTAAATGGACAACCTGAAAAATCCCATCTCTCCAAAATGAGACAGCATACTGGATTACAAATGCAAGATTATATACACAATTATATTAAGTTAAGCCAGTTCATATATTACACCCAGCAATTCAAACAGCATACTGGAGGGACGGGGAAAGTGGAGAAAGAAAGGATCCACACTGAGGAATCCCATTCATTCCAATCCACGGAATCCTGTCCTTTTCCCATTGTGGTCGGTGGTATCTGCATAGGAGTCAATGATACTGTAAATGAAAGGATAAAGCTTAACATCTGGTCCTGAGCTTGAACAGCTTTTGCATTCTTCATTGTAATACGGAGCAGCAGCTTATAAATTTGCCCTAGAAAATAAAGAGTCAGACTATTTAACAAAAAATAAAGGTAATAATGTACAGATAAAACTTACAAAAGTATTCCCCCCATGCCAGTTTTATGAAAATCTCAAGATCATAGTCTACATTTTGGCTCTAGGAAATATATCTTTTTCACATGACTGGAGAACAATCTTACATAAAACAAAATGTTTTAAAAAGTCATTTGCCTTTATCTCATACCCTCAAGTGCACAGATACACAAGCACTCATACATAAGCCTTTTCCTTGTGTGACAGATATTAAGAGCAATAACACAGGCTGCCTGACCATTCCCTAGTCATTCAGCTTCTAAATAACGTTGGAAAGCTTTCTGATTAACCTGAAAACAAAAAGACAAAACAACAACAAATAAACAACCCAGCCATAAACAATAAGCATTCTGCTGCACTCAAAAAGCATGACTCAGTTGATAACTATCTATCTACATCTGGCTAATCTGCTCCTTTTTTCTATTAGTTTTGACAAATATGAAAGGGGAAAAGTATAGTCCTACCACGTTCAGGGCCTTTTACCAGGAATTAGCCATACTATGTTCTTTCAATATATCATGGACATAGTATAACTAAAACCAAAACACTGTAAACAAAACCCTCAAACCAGAAATTTCACACCTACTTTCACTTTGTCTCCCTTTCCCAAATGAATTCTTTCCCTTCCTGCTTGTGACGTCCATCCAGGTTTAGCAAACAGCTCTTCTAAACAGAGAGACAAATTACCATGTACTTACCAACTGTCTGTCCTCTTTCAGTAAGGAAAGTGTGCATGCCATAGATGTCTCTCATCAATTCTGAATCCCCAAAGGTAAAATAAGCCACATCTCGTTCGGCTGCAGCCGCTGCCAGTATTTGTATTAAGGCTTAAGCAGAGAGAAAATAATACTAATCACAAATCCACAGTGTGACAACACACCAAGGTACTTCTAACTTCTTCAAACCAGCTATGTTACAGTTGGTAAACAACAACACTAGTTTAGATTAATGCCTTACTATGCAAATCATTTGAGATTATGAATTGTGCTGAATGGAAAAAAAAACCTCTCAAGGTTGTGATTCTTCTCATATTTTCTTTAAGAACACAAAAGCAGTGTAGTACAGTGATCACTGGACTCAGAATTAGGCCAGACCTGGGTTTGATGCCTGTCTCTTATACTTTTCAGCTGGGTGACCATGGGCAAATGATTTAAACGGAGCTTCAGTTTTCTTATCTGTAAAATGGTGATAGTTATTTCACTATACAAATGTACCTACCTCCTAGGGCTGTTGGGAAGATCAAGTAAGATAACACATGTAAAAAATCTTTCAAACATTCAATGCTATGGAAATGTCTGCTATCTATTAAGAGTATTTCATGGTACAACGCAACAAATAAAAAGGCTCATTTCAGTTATACAGCCAAGAGGCTAAAACAACTGTCCTATTTTCTAAACTAAATTATTCTCAAATATTTACTTTAAACTTAGCCACTGACCTTTCACTGAAAGAAAACTGGGTTTTCAATGGATTTAGTGAAAAGATACTGATATGCTCATTAGAGAAGTAAATCACTAAACTTGCAATGTATTCCCTTTAAAAAAAAGCTTTTACTAATGACGATTTTATGTTGCAAGCATTTTCCACTCACTCACTTAAGATTAAACCTTCTCTTGTGCCAAAGAAACCAATTAATCAAAAAATATTCAACAAATGACCATGTCTGACAACATCTAGACTGATTTTTTCCAGGTAGCCTCCCACCTTTCTGCTGTGAAGGAGGTGGCATATTTCATTATCTCTTCTCTGGGATCTTCGTTGGTTTTTCCATTACTCAAATGTCAAGTTCCATTAGTGACCTCTTCATTTAACTTGTTGTAAGCATTGCAGATATTGTTTTCTTGGTCTCATGAATCACAGTAAGTTTTCTAGACCCAAGATTCCTTACAAAGTTAAACTCAAAGAAGCCTAATTTACAACTTTCCACCAAAGTCCTCCTCTGGCACTTTACTGCAGCATAGAGGTGACTCTAGGTTCCTGAAGACTGTGCCAGAAGAACACAAGTCCTGGCTGCTGAAAGACTATGGGTCTCAGCCAGCCAAGTACTGCTTAGATAATTTCAAAGAAGTTTCATTATCAACAGACCAACAGGAAAAAGAGATAAGCTTTTTCTGCTACAGCAATACACTAAGACCATCAGCTAACATAAACTGTGTCAAAAGAGGAAGCATCTACTCCAATAAAATCACTGAATCCCGAAGTAACGAAGTAATCTAAAACATTCAACATGTTGACATTTTGTCTTGCTAGACACATGCCTTCGTCCTCAGGAAAAGGAAAAGAAATTTATACTACAACTATGACAAATGTGTAAGAGTTAAAAGATCTTTTAAAAAACAAACTTAGAAACAGAATATAACTCAATAACACACCAGGTCAAGAAAGGAACCTTTGACATTTCATTATGATTACAATTCTAAATATTATCAAAGGATATGGTAAATTTCATCAATTAACATTTCTCAAGTATCTAAAATGTGCTGGGTGCCATAACTGGAATTCATTAATCTCCTAAGTGTTAAAGTAATTTATCACAAGAGAGATGATGTTTTAATTAAAACTACTTAACTTGTCTATTAAAGCTTCAGTAAACCCATTTTTAAAGGTGCCAAATTATGTTAATCTGCATACCAAAAATGAGGCTAATGAATCTCTATTGCCTGTAAACTTGGCATATTATTTATTACCTTTTAGCTGGAATGTGAAAATCTGACTAAAAATATATCATTGGTAAACAAAAGACCTTTACAGATCCAGCTTCGTAAGTCAGAGACAATTTTGAATTTCCAATTTTATAGGATCATAGATTTAGAGCCAGGGCAGATTTAGCAATCGTCACCCCATCCTCCGCCCCCCCTTTTTTTAAACATATGAGTAAACTAAGTTATAGAGAGAAGAAGTGACTTGCCCAAGGTCACACAGGTAGTAAGTGACCCAGCTGGGACTGAACCCAGATACTCTCTACCTTCAAAATTATGATCTTTTCTGCTGTGTATCACGTGGATTCTCAATGTTTCATTCAGGAAAATAAGGTACTATCAAGAACAATCTAAATATATAAGACTAACTGCGCTCCATTTCTATCCAGGTATAGCTCTAACAATAATGACTTACATTTATATAGCACCCACACTTATTACAAAGTGCTTACATACACCATCTCATTAGACCCTTACAACAACCTTGTGAGGTAGGTTAGTGAACTAAAGTGCTGGACTTGGAAGCACAAAGATCTGAGTTCAAATCTTAACTTAAGCTACTTACTATTTGACCCTGGAAAGTTATTTAATGTCTCTCAGCCTCAGTTCCCTCATCTGTAAAATGGGGATAATACTATCACACACTTCACAGAGTTGTAAGGATCAAATGAGACACGTAGAACACGCTGTAAGTCTTAAAAGTACTATATAAATGTCAGCTAGACTTAGTCTAAGTATCATTCTTACTTTATAAAGGAATAAAATGAGGCTTACACCAACAACTTACACTTATATATTACTTTAAGGTTTACAAAGAGCTTGCCTCACAGTCTCTGAGATGTCTGGTGCAAGTATTGTTATCTGTATCTATAATCAGGAAAGTGAGGCTCAAAGAGATTATGTGACTTGCTCACACAGCAACAGAGTGCCAGAGCTAGGATTTGGACTAAGGTGTTCTGATGACAAACCCAGTACATTCTCCATTAGGCCTCAACACAAAACAGACTCAAGGACAGCTCTGCGTTGTGGGTCCCTATAGAAACACAACCCAATGGTAACTGAGCTGGCTGGAGTGCTGGGAGATGAGCTTTAGAAGAAAATGACAAGAATAAGGTTAAAAAAAAAAGACCTTTCAAATACATAGATACAGTTAATCCACTGACATAGGTACACTCCAAATATATCCAAACTCTCCCACCAGCCATTTCAAGCTTTAAAAAAAAATTTTACTCCCTTGAATGTGTAAAAAAGACAAATATATAAAAATGACATGAAATTTTCAGAAAGAAAAATGACTATTACAAAAATGTAATAATAATGGTTAAATGAGTACTCTAAAATACAATCAGGTCCCTCAGACTTTCAATACCTAAAAACCCCCAAATCCCCACAGCTCTAGAGAACTGTGCCTGGACGCTGAAATGAAATCTTCCACTTCTCTGGTTGGGAAAGAGTAGATCTGCAATATAACAAGGTGTTTTGGGGTGTGTGGACTGGGTCCAGGAAACGATATAAAAGCATCAGATTCTGACTTCAAGCATGTCTAAATGCCAAAGGAATTATTTAATTTAAACTGCAGGGAGTTGGGTTTTAATTTTCTTCTTGGCAGAAATTTTAAGCTGTAAAAACAAAATGAAACAAAACAAAACAAAAAACAAGCATACATGACTAATTAAAAACAATTTGAATTCTTTTTGCAATGAATGCACTCAAAGAAGAATGAAACAACACAGGGAGGAAGAGCAAGACAAGACTGTGCTTTAGGAATATTAACATGTAGTAACTGGTACACAAAGTAAACTCTACCATTTCATAATGTATGATTACTTAAATGATTCATATGTATCCTGCCAGGGTTGTACTGTTAAGTTAAAAAAAAAAACCCAACTCTTAAAAGTTCCCATAGACTGATTTCTAGTTTAGTTTTTTCTCGGATCTCACATTCCGTGACCTCTCTAACCCTTCCAGGATTGATGTGAATACAGTACTTGAAAGTGAGATCTGTAGACAGATAAATGCATACATACACGTATATATGTGTGTGTATATAAATATTTAAAAAAATCTCTCTCTGTTCCATGATCCTACACTATTTTTAATCTCCTACCTTTTTGACTACTACTTTTTAACTCCACATTTATTCTTCCCATCAATTATTTTCAGGTGTCTCTCAAGGCTCAGTCAATCCTTCATTCTCCATATTTCTTTTATTTGTACACTTACTTTCCTGGACAAATTATTCTCCTTACAACTCCAACTCCAACTACTATCTCTATGATGGTGACTCCCAAATCTAGGACCCTCAGATACCATCTAAGAACTAGGTTACATAGTACCAACTGTCCCAGATATTGCAACATGGGTATCTCATAATTACTATCAACTTTAAACTCAATTTCTCTGGTCAGACAAATGTCGCTGTGCCATGAACTTGTGATGCTTATTTCCCAGGACTGTGCTTTGGTTCACAGTGCTCTCCCCCTACCTAGAATGCTCCTGTTCCTTTCAGTCTATTTTCAATGCCCAGATCAAATCTTACAAAGCCTTACTTCACGTCAATAACCTACGCTATCACTAGTCTATTCTACATAATTAGAACTTTGTTAAGAAGATCTCTAATTGTCATTACCATATATAAAACACATACACTCCATAGAGTATCTTATGTATTGTTTCATGTATATATCTGTCTTCACCAGTTAGACTAAGCTACTCGTGAGCAGGGCTCATGTCTTGCTACTATTTGTCTCCCACTCCCACTCTCTGTCCCCATACCCAGTCCTTTGTATGATAGACCAAAAATACCTAATACAAGTTTTTTGTTTGAATAAAATAGACAAAAATTGTGACAATACTTGGAAGGTAAACAAACATGGGTTCTCCACTAAGAAAGAGTGGAAAGAGGCTGCATTTAGAATCAGGGTTCCAAATTTCAATTTGGTCTCTGCCACTTATGACTTGCGTGAAGTTGGGCAGGTCGTATCACTCAGGTTCTCAGTTTACTCATCTATAAATGGAGAGGGTTGGACTAGATGGTTTTCAACATCCTTCCCAGTTCTAAAGCTTAAGCCTATAATGAGGAATTCTTGTCAGTTATTTTAGAATCCCACAAATTCTTTTTTTAATCA